TGGAAATATTTATTTATAAATTCGATATTAGATATATATATATAACGCTGTACGCGATAACGAATCGTCGCGAGAAACGATTGATATTACTTCGACCTTTTCTCCGGTTTACCAAAAACATGTGAAATATTCAAAGCGATCGAGTTATTTTGTTCACAGATTTTTTATATATTTATATATATTAATATGATAATATAATATTATATAATATTAATATGATAATACAATATTATACAATATTAATATGATAATATAATATTATACAATATTAATATTCTAATATAATATTATATAATATATTAATATGATAATATAATATTATACAATATTAATATTCTAATATAATATTATATAATATATTAATATGATAATATAATATTATACAATATTAATATTCTAATATAATATTATATAATATATTAATATGATAATATAATATTATACAATATTAATATTATAATATTATATAATAATATAATAATATTACATAATATTATTATATTACATTATTATTATTACATAATATTATTATATTATATATATATATATATACTTTTTTATATATATATATATATTCTTGATTGCCCGCTCTCTCTTTCATAACATAAAAAACAACTTTATAAACATCAACGCCGAAGTAACGATTAAAGTAATGACTAAATATCCGAGTATTCGATTGAAAAAAAAATCGAGTCGTAGTCTTCGTTAAACGTGTGCAGAAGTTGAATTGTTAACAACACGGTCGATCCGAACGATTCGAACTGTGCAGCGAGATTGGTTTACACGATAATTAGCAGAGTTTAGAATTCGATGACGGATCTTATTTCTTACCAAACATCCCGCTGATTTCCCTTCCGTGGTAATGCTGACTGGACGCTAATTACCCGGATGATTAATATTGAACGTCGAAGCCACTGAACGGAACTCTAGATGAGGTAATACTACGCTCTCGTGGTTAAAAATACTGACCGAAGGAACGATCGTGGATCGTTTCATTAGTGTACGCGGCGTTTCGTAAATCGTGGAACCTGCAAAACAGCGGTGATTTTTTGTTCAGGTAAAAATATGGAAGGTATACGATTTTCTTAGCCAGTTTTTCGAGCCGTCTGACGCGACTTACGGAACAGAAATTAAATAATTAAAATTGTATTACAAATTAAATAAGATCGATTACTACGTTCTAATAAAATAGAAGCTTCCATAATTATTAAAACAGTTCCAATGCGTGACGTACAAACATTCCCACATAAACGTCGCGCACGAAAGAGTTACTGCAATTTCTCCCGGAATTGCCAAGTTTCGGAACGCTGTGAAATTCCCTGTGCTGCTCCTACGCCCGTGTGATTTATTGCCACGTCGATGACAAGGTTCGACGACACGAAATGGTCCGTTTGGCTTCCGAATTGCCTTCGTTATCGTGGCGAATAATTAGAAACAATTTAATACGTTTCTATTCCAGCACTATTTTGTACAACAAATTTTCCCTAATTTTCCTTCAGATTGCGCGCAAAAGTTTGGGAATTGCGCACAATTTGGGAAGAGACGAGGAAGAGGAGCAATACATACAGCAATGCTAGAATAAAAATGATGACTTAACTATTAATTAACTTATATTAATGTCCACCGGCATGCGGGCCGATGCTTTTTCGCCGACTGCCCCGAGTTTCTGTAAAATCGAGCCGCGAGGAGAATCGAGCCGAAGAGTCGCGACTTAGTACTCTCGGATTTGCCGGTTTCAATTCTCCTTTGCGCAATTCTCGCAATTCTCCTCCGCCGATAATTTCTGGGCTTTTTCACCGACTGCCTCGAGTTTCCATAAAAATGCCTCGCGAGTCTCGAAGAATCGCCGGCTAATATATATAATATAATATATAATATAATATATATATAATAATATATAATATAATATATATATAATAATATATAATATAATATATATATAATAATATATAATATAATATATATATAATAATATATAATATAATATATATATAATAATATATAATATAATATATATATAATAATATATAATATAATATATATATAATAATATATAATATAATATATATATAATAATATATAATATAATATATATATAATAATATATAATATAATATATATATAATAATATATAATATAATATATATATAATAATATATAATATAATATATATATAATAATATATAATATAATATATATATAATAATATATAATATAATATATATATAATAATATATAATATAATATATATATAATAATATATAATATAATATATATATAATAATATATAATATAATATATATATAATAATATATAATATAATATATATATAATAATATATAATATAATATATATATAATAATATATAATATAATATATATATAATAATATATAATATAATATATATATAATAATATATAATATAATATATATATAATAATATATAATATAATATATATATAATAATATATAATATAATATATATAATAATATTATTATTATATATATATAATAATATAATATATAATATAATATATAATATAATCAGATCTGTCGGCTTCAATTCCGACCTGCATTTTCGACAGAAATAACTATACTTCGATCACTCTAATCAAAAACCAACTTTGGACAACTCGAACACGAAGAGTACCAGGAAAAAAGAGTCCGCCAATTTTCACGGGTTCTTCTGTTCGTTCGTCGAAACTTCCGCGACGTTCCTGGACTCCGACCTGTCCGACTTGTCCGACTTCCTGTCGAAAGCCCTCTCAACCTCCAGCAGGGTCTTGTCCTTGGTTTCCGGCAGCGTGCAGTACAAGAAGCCGGTTCCGAGAAGCGTGAGGATCCCGTAAATTGCGAAAGTTCCGTGGGTCTCGAGCGCGAGGAACATCGCCGGCACGATTTTCACGACCGTGAACGAGAAGATGAAGGCGAAGCCGGAGGTCAGGCCGGACCCGAGGCCCCGGAACTTCCTGGGGAACAGTTCGCCGCAGAGTATCCACGGCAGAGGCGTCAGACCGATCGTCATGAACACGATGTAGATCACGAGCAGGACGCAGGGCCACCACGGTCTGCCGACGTCGTGGTACAGGCACAGGCTCAACAGGAACAGAAAGAAAGACGTTCCGCAGCCGGACACGTGGGTCAGGGTCCTCCTGTTGCAGCGTTTGATCAGGTAGCAGGTGAGCACGCTGACAATCAAGCGGGCCACGTCGATGACCAGTGTGCCGACGTAAGCGTAATCGGGCCCGGTCACCTCCATCAGCATGACCACGGAGTAGAAGATGACGACGTTGTAACCGGAGAATTGAGCGGCGAAGAAGAACACGCAGAGTATGCTGAGCGGCCACAGAAAGTACCTCGAGGTCGCGGTCTCTTTGACGCGCGAGCAAACCGACCGTTCGGCGGACTTCCGCCGAGCGGTCTTCGAGTTCTCCAGGGCCTGATACTCGCTCAACGATCGCCAGCCGCGTAGACGCACCCACGACTCGAGCGCCTCGTCCGTCCGACCTTTGTTTATCAGCCAGGTGGGGCTCTCCCGCGACGCTAAGGCAGTCAGCAGGCCGATAGCGGCGAAGGCGACGCAGATGTACGCGGTCATTCGCCAGTGCAGCCAAATGCAGACAGCGTGCACCACCAGAATACCGACCGAAAGTGTCACGGAGATCAGGCTGAGCAGGACCCCGCGTAGCACGGGGTCCGACGTCTCGCTGATGTAGACGGGGGCCAGCGGGCCGAACAGGCCCGCGCAGAACCCGCAGATCACTCTTCCGATTATGATGCAGGCGACGTTGTAGGCGAGGCCGATCGTCAGCCAGCCGGCCATGAAGACGGGGAAGATCGCCAACGTGGACCTCTTCCTGCCGAGCTTCTCGATCAGGAATCCGGACATCCAGCAGCCTGGCGCCATCGGGAGCAACACCGAGGAGGCTATCCAGGACTCCTCGTCCACGCTGGACACGACGATGTCGTCGTCGGTGAGATTAGCCGCGCTGCCGTTGATTATGGTAGTCGGTGCGTGCAGCTCCGGCAACAAGACGGCGCTGTAGCCCGACGACAGGCCCGCCATGAAGACACCCAACAGTGGGCCCAGAGCTGTCAGCAGCTGCCTGAGACGAAGCCGAAGGTCGGAGTCTTCGCTCCTGCCGAAAAAATTCTCCATCGCTCGTCGCTCGGAACGTTCGCGCACTGAAAACTATCCGGACTGACTGATCACACACGGCAGCTGGCATGTCCTTGGAGACTCTTGTTTATCGCCATGCGACATTCCGATATCGCTGAAGCATACTCTAGATCGTTCCTTACTCCACTAAGCGCGGATCATCGCGGCAATCGACTCGCAGCTCGCAGTCGTCGCTACGTAATCGCTACGAAAATACCTCGGCCAACCAACCGGTTCACAGTGGACTTTCCTCGTCGCCTGTAATCGTGTTTCGGCGAGCTGGTTTATCACAACAATGACACGAAATTCCAATTTCGTTACTGCCGATTGATTTCTGTTACAGGCCGTTCACGTCACGCGAACGTTATCGGATACGCGTTGTGTTTACTTCGACCGTTTATCTACTCGTCGTCGATCAGCGTATTAATTGATTCAGGAGCAATATTTTAAGGACACGGAGGAAGATGGACTTTATAAGTCGGATTTTGTTTTAACCAGTTAGCTGTGTTCGACGAGTATACTCGGCATGGAGAAGTGACGGTATTTTGTATCACGGCGAGTATACTCGTCGAGCGTAGAAAGTAGTGAGTATTGGCTATTTAATAATGTATTTAATAAGCTTGATATAATCTTAACCAGTTAGCTGTGTTCGACGAGTATACTCGTCATGAAGAAGTGACGATATTTTGTGTCACGACGAGAATACTCGTCGAGCGTAGAAAGTAGTGAGTATTGGCAATTTAATAATGTATTTAATTAGCTTGATATAACCTTAACTAGTTAGCTGTGTTCGACGAGTATACTCGTCACAGAGAAGTGGCAGTATTTTACTGTCACAACAAGTATACTCGTCGAGCGTAGAAAGTAGTGAGTATTAGACCATTTAATAAAGTATTTAATAAGTTTGGCATAATCTTAACCAGTTTACTGTGCTTGACGAGTATACTCGTCACGGACAAGTGGCAGTATTTTACTGTCACGACGAATATACTCGTCTAGCGTAGGAAGTAGTGAGTATTAGGCTATTTAATAACGTATTTAATAACTTCGACATAGCCTCAACCAGTTAGCTGTGCTTGACGAGTATACTCGTCATGCATAAATATTTTACTGTCACGACGAGTATGCTCGTCGAGCGTAAAAAGTAGTGACCATCGGCTATTTAATAACCTTAACGTAACCTTAACCAGTTAGCTGTGTTCGACGAGTATACTCGTCACGCTGAAAAAGTAGCGACTGTTGGCTATTTAATAACCTATTTAATAACCTCGACATAACCTCAACCAGTTAGCTGTGCTCGATGGGTACACTCGCCATGGAAAAGTGGCAGTATTTTATTGTCACGACGAGTATACTCGTCGAGCGTAAAAAGTAGCGATCATCGGCTATTTAAACTGTAATTTTAGTGAAAACAAAAGCATATTCTCAAATTTCAAGATGTTTAGAATATTTTGACGTCGATCCTACCTGAAGATATTTACACTGTTATAAAAATACGATTAGGAAAGAATTACTAATGCTTAATTATAATTATAATTTCTGCAATAGAATAAAATAAGTTACTTGCCACGTACAACGAATAAATACGATCTAAAGCTTGTCAAGTTTGGTCTCATTTCAACCGGAAGAATCTGGCCGATATATTAAAAAAATGTTCACGTACACAAGATTAGAAAGTTTCCTTGAAGAATATAGTTTCCTCGAAACTCGCGGCGCAAAACGTTTAAAACCGTTTAATGATTTCTACGATTTCCCTTAATAGCACAGCACGCGAATAATGCCCTAAATTTAAAACGATCAATCAATTCGGATTTGAATTCTGGTGGCCACTTCGCGATCCTTTACAGATAACCGAAGCTCAGTCGGCTGAAGAACCGCGAGCCATTGAACTCTTTCGGGGCACTAAACGATTCCACTCGCTTTGCCGTCAAAAGACATGTCAAAAGTGATCGCGTTTCCATGGTGCGGCGGGATGGATCGACGGGGGGGAAAGGGGGAAGCGCGGGATGCGGAAAGTAGATGGCAAGGCGAGGAGCGGTCAGACCGATCCGATCCCGGTTTCCCGGTCGTTTTTCGAGATCGGGAGCCGTTTAAAATTCCGTGGCCCGCGAACGGAGGGCCAATAAAAATCACGGAATCAGCTCGGTAAACAGGAAGCCCGACCGATTTCTCCCGAATCCGTCGCAGGCTCGTTCCTTCCCCTTTGGCCAGTACAACCCCCCCTGCCGGCCCCGTCGTGCTCGAATCGTCGACGGAGGACCGCGTCTTTTAATGCGGAAGACCCTCCAAAGTCTCGTTACCATGTGAGGCTCTCCGCGTCCGGGGGCAACAAAGAGGTCTTTTTAACAGCGAGCGCCTTTATGAGGATACACGAGGAGAATCGAGGGGAGCAGCGCGCCGGCTCTCCTGGGTGTGTTTCGACGTACTTGAAAAGAGCAGACCGGATAAAGCACGGTCGTGAAACTAGTTTCTTCTCATTTGGAGACGGCGGCGGCCCTCCAGATCCGCCAGGAGGCTGCGTCCGATTGGCGACGGATGATAAACTTTTTCACGAACACTCGTGCGCAGTCCTCGCGACGAAGTTCCGCCGGTCCCTCTGTCGACCACTTCTGCGTCGCTTGTTGCTGTCGAAAACTTCAAACTATAACGAAATTGGACGCCGGATACGATTATCGTCGAGTGACCATTTGCTGGGCCTTTGGTTCCGTTTTCGGGCACAATGGACGTTGTGTTCATCGAATAAGGCGCGATCAATTTTGCTTTCTTAACGAATGAACAACGAAAAGATTTTTCCCTGTGGACTGTAAAGGTAACGCGAGTTATGGTTAGGCTTGTATCATGCACTGTTTTTTATTTGTTGGTTTATTGTAACACAATGTTAACTAAAGTGATACAAAATTATAGAATAAAATTACTCAATAAAATAATGTGTTAATTATATGATATATGATATTTTGCGAAGCAATTTATTTCGGTTGCGAAGCGTAGATAAATATTGCACATAGTACATACATTATACGTACTATATACGGGGTGTCCCGAAAATGTCTCGCAATCTGGGAGAGGGCGATTCCTGAGGTGATTTGAAGCAACTTTTTCCTTATCGAAAATGCTATTCGCGGTTTCGTTTACGAGTTATTAAGGAATAACGGTGGCCAATGAGAGGCGAGCTCGGCCGGCGCGCGGCGGCTCGGCCAACGAGCGCACGGAGCTCGGTTCCGCTCATTGGCTCGGCCGTCTCGCGCCAACTGATCTCGCGTCGCATTGGTCACCGTTTTTCTTTAATAACTCGCAAACGGAGCCGCGGATTGCATTTTCGCTGAGGAAACAGTTGCTTCAAATAACCCCAGGAACCTTCCATTTCTGGATTGCGAGACATTTTTGGGACACCCTGTAATGTACTATATGCATATTATACAGTACATGTATAATTCTTCTCATCTTTTCCGCTGTTTGCAAGTTGCGCGCCGGCAAATCGCGTTTCGCACTGAAAGTAACCAAATAATTGAATACGACGCCAATTTCAAAACGGAGAGAAATGTTTCCATTAGTCGTGAAGGGGTTAAACGAACCCCTGTGTTTCATCGGAACGATGCCGGAACGTTCATTGAAACCGTCGATACGCCAGAAACGTCTCGCAACACGCCTAACACACCGGGCAGCCCTAATTCGCGCGTTTCTCGAGCTCGCAAAAGGTAATACGATGCGCGTCGCTTTATTAGCTCTCCCCGAGGTGGTACGAGAGGGCGTAACGCGAACTTTTCCCTGTCTCGGCGTGCTCGCCGCCGTTTCCCCACCCCCTTGTTCCGACGAAGGGTGCGTAAAAATGGATGCATACGGGGCACTCGAGTGCACCGGCCAGGTGAAATCTCACGGCGCGCGGGGTGTATAACGCGGGCCGAGGAGGAAGATTGATGCGGCTGGAACGAAGGGAAAAACAACTCGCGTGGGATGCGTTTGTTCGAGGCTCCTCGGCGAAGATAAAGGATACGACCGGAGAAAGGAAAGTTCCAGGAGCAAGCAAACGGCGCCGACCGCGTAAAAGCGGATGTGTATTGTACACGGAGATTCTGGATGGGGTCGCTAACCTTCCCGAAGTGTAATCTACTCGAACAGAGGGTGAAACGACGCTCTCTCTCTCTCTCTCTCTCTCTCTCTCTCTTTCTCTCTCTCTCTCTCTCTCTCTCTCTCTCTCTCTCTCTCTCTCTCTTTCTCTCTCTCTCTCTCTCTCTCTCTCTCTCTTTCTCTCTCTCTCTCTTTCTCTCTCTCTCTTTCTCTCTCTCTCTCTCTCTTTCTCTTTCTCTTTCGCTGTCTCCTCGCTTTTGCTCGTTCGCTCGCTCTTTCCGTTTGCGGTCGTGGAACTGCGACGGGAACGAACATTGACTGGCGCATTTGTCGTTCTAACGCTGATGCGTTCGGTCATCCAGATTAGTCTTGACAAGACGTACTACACGAACTCGTGACTTATGCTATCTACGAGACGTTGACTGATACGAATCCCGGCAAATACTGACGAAATTCGTCTTAACCGGTTCGCTGTGTTCGACGAGTATACTCGTCGTGGAGATGCGGCAGCAATGTCTCTCTAATTGACGCTCAGATTGTCCACAAATATGGACAATTTGGGAAGAGGAGACACGATTATTCGAGCCTTGCAGCTCGTTTTTATAGTTACGAATTGTCGATGACTGTAGAAATGTCTTTTCTAAATTTTCGTTGCTAGCTCTGATGGAAAAGTTGAAAAATGCACACGTGTGGTTTCTTTTACGCTTTTTAATGAAATTCGCGCTTTGGTCCAATTCCTTAGAGAAAAGCAAATATTCGAGTTAAAGAATAATAGGTATAGCTGTCAAGGTTATGTCATTGGATGGCGCTTTAGTCCAATATTTTGAGAAAAGTAAATATTCGAGTTAAAGAATAATAACAATTTATTGCTATAGCTGTCAATTTATTGTTATAATCGCCGATTTATCGGCGTAACTTCTCAGTCTAATTTTCTCCGTCAAAGTTCGCCCTCATCGAAAAACCGCAGTACAGTAATGTCTCTCTAATTGACGCTCAGATTGTCCACAAAAATGGACGATTTGGGAAGAGGAGATACGATTATTCGAGCCTTGCAGCTCGTTTTTATAGTTACGATTACTATATTAATTATTATAAATTATTATGTTATAAATTATTATATAAATTATTATAATATAAATTATTATAAATTATTATATTAATTATTATAAAAATGTCTTTTCTAAATTTTCGTTGCTAGCTCTGATGGAAAAGTTGAAAAATGCACACGTGTGGTTTCTTTTACGCTTTTTAATGAAATTCGCGCTTTGGTCCAATTCCTTAGAGAAAAGCAAATATTCGAGTTAAAGA